TGTTCTGACGGTCTCTGCTGGATCAGACTCAGACCCTGTTCTGACGGTCTCTGCTGGATCAGACTCAGACCCTGTTCTGACGGTCTCTGCTGGATCAGACTCCGCCTCTGTGGTTTAAATTTAGCGTTTAGCGTTTCACAGAATGATTTAAGTCAACAGAGCTGTTAGCAGCTACCAGCAGGACGGATGATTGATGCTGCAGCTCATCTGTGTGTGTGTGTGTGTCTGTGTGTGTGTGTGTGTGTGTGAGAGAGAGAGAGAGAGAAAGACTTTGTGAGTTTCTGCATATTGTGTGTGTGTGTGTGTGTGTGTGTATAACACAGTGTGAGTGTGTAAAACTTCTAATCCAGTCTTGGTGTGACTGAGCCTCTTAAAGCCTCCACGACCTCCGCCGGCTGACAGAGGACACTGACCGAGTCTGTGTGTGTGTGTGTGTGTGTGTAATTAGTGTGTGTGGATCTTGACTCGGTCTAATCACTGGCTGCTCTCTGAGTGTTTTTGTATTAAAGTGCGTTGGCAGATCTGAAGCTGCAGAATCAGGGATGGAGCAGAAATCAGAGCTTTGACGGAGGACATGGTTCCAGTCCAATAATACGATTCATGAGTACTACGTATTGTTATCTTTGAGAACCTGAGTCATTAGAGGGTGAACCCTCACCTAAAGTTAAACTGATATTACTGACATTATTAATATCTAGAATATCAAGTCTGAAAAATTAAACACGGTCACCAGGAAAAATGTCTGAGATAATTGTGACCAAAACGGTCCGATCTCACTTCACAGTCTCACCTCAAACTTTCTCAGATCGATGATAATTTTACCTGAAGGTAGAAAAACTTTGTTTACTGGATTATCTGATCCTTAGATTACCACACATCCTCGTCGTTAAAAAAAACACTTTATCATTTAACATTTGTTAACTCTCAATATGAGTACCTGAAGAATCAAACTTAGAAAAATAACAAAACACAAAAAAAGGAGTTTGTAAGACGGAGAATCAGGGCCACATTTAGAAGAAAAAAAATAAGACTTCGTTATTACTGAGAAAGTAAATAATGATTAAGTAATGACTAAATTACAACTTTTAAAAATCTAAAAAAAAGAAAAACTACAACAAAGACACAAAAACTACAACAGAGACACAAAAACTACAACTAAAGATACAAAAACTACAAACAAAGATACAAAAACTACAAAAGACAAAAACTACAACAAAAACTACAAACAAAGATACAAAAACTACAACTAAAGATACAAAAACTACAAAAGACAAAAACTACAACTAAAGATACAAAAACTACAAAAGACAAAAACTACAACTAAAGATACAAAAACTACAAAAGACAAAAACTACAACTAAAGATACAAAAACTACAAAAGACAAAAACTACAACTAAAGATACAAAAACTACAACTAAAGATACAAAAACTACAACTAAAGATACAAAAACTACAACTAAAGATACAAAAACTACAACAAAGACACAAAAACTACAACTGAAGATACAAAAACTACAAAAGACAAAAACTACAACTAAAGATACAAAAACTACAAAAGACAAAAACTACAACTAAAGATACAAAAACTACAACAAAGACACAAAAACTACAACTAAAGATACAAAAACTACAAAAGACAAACACTACAACTAAAGATACAAAAACTACAACAAAGACAAAAACTACAAACAAAGATACACACACTACAAAAGACAAAAACTACAACTAAAGATACAAAAACTACAATAGACAAAAACTACAACTAAAGATACAAAAACTACAACAAAAACTACAACAAAGACAAAAACTACAACTAAAGATACAAAAACTACAAAAGACAAAAACTACAACAAAGATACAAAAACTACAACAAAGACACAAAAACTACAACTAAAGATACAAAAACTACAAAAGACAAAAACTACGACAATATCTGGGATTAGATTAGATTAAAAAGTCCAAACGATGTTTACCTTCAATGATATGTTTCCTTGACAACCCTCGCTCCGTCTCCGCCCTGAAACACACACACACACACACACACACACACAGACACACACACTTCACCACATGTATGTTCCTAAACGTGTGGAAAAGTCAACGGCGGTCAAACTCACTGTCCACCCCAGTAGATCTTCGTGGTGACCACGTAACTGGACCTCCTGGAGAAACAGGGAGAGAGAGAGAGAGACGGCGTTATTTACTGCGGCGGTTGTGTGGCGGTGTCAGCATCAGTTACTGTGAGAGATGGAGGCGATGGAGGGAAGATTAAAGGACAGGATGAAGGATGCAGAGAAGAAGTGCTGAGTCACGTCTTCAGGTTTATAATTATCACGCCGTTCAGTCGGACCGTAAGACTTTGAACACGCTCAGCTCATGTCTTCCTCTCCTTCACTGTGATTGGCTGAGAGGTCGTCTTCATGTTGACCCCATAACTCTCCTGGGTACCCCTCTAAAGTCTGGAACTCTACAACACCAAGACCGACGGTGTTCAGATGATCCGGGTCTGTCTGAAGGAACTCCAGGTTTCCTTCTCCAGGACTTCCTTCTTCATCTGTCCTCATCTCCTCATCTCCTCATGTCCTCGTCTCCTCATGTCCTCATCTCCTCATCTCCTCATGTCCTCATGTCCCCATCTCTCTCTCTCTCATTGACACACAGACAGGTGAGCAGTCGTTTACCTCCATCCTTTCTTCTTCAGGATGTTTCCCAGAGTCGTCTCTGCCCTGAAACAAACAGACAGAAACAGACGTTCATCTGTCAGGTCCCAGACTTTCAAGGATTCAAGGCCATTTAAAGGACTGAGTCATTCAAGGATCTAGCTTTTTAAAGACCCATCCTCTCATGACTGGGGCTTTGAAGGACCCAACTTTGGACTGACCTAGGCTGTGAGGGACCTGGTTTTAGGACGACTAACCCCCAATCTCCACCTTCACCCTGATCGTCCCCTAAAAGGTCGTATCCTCCGATCGTAGCTGATTTCGCCTAAGGTGAAAACATGCCAAGTAAGTCCAGTTGACACCCCGATGACACCATGGATGAGGAGATGCTGATTCTAGAAGTCTAGAAGTAGATTTCCTCCTCTGGAAGGACACAATCTACTGCTTATATGTCTATGTGTCTGTCTTTAGAGAGACGACTCGTTATCGTGTGATTGGACGTGAATCTGCAGGTTCTTGTGAGTTCTCGTGATTCCCGCTGTCTGGAACCCGCCATGAAATTCGCCTCACAAACCGATCCGGTAGGAATTGGCGGACGGTGAAAATCGCCGCTGTTCTGGATTGGAGCCGTTCTGGATGCGGTGAAAATTGAGGGTGAATCATTCATGGATCTAGCTTTTGAAGACCCATCTTCTCATGACCTGGGGGTTTGAAGGACCCAACTTTGGAAGGACCTAGACTATAAGGAACCTGGTTTTAGGACGACTTAGCTTGTACGGGACCTGGCCTCTGAAGGACCCAGCCTTCCTGACCTGCACAGAACCCTTTAGACATCTTGAAGATAAGTCCTCATGTCCACAGCCTGTCCTCAGATCTCCTGAGTGTGAAGCAGCTCGTTTGTATTCGTGTCCTAAATCTCAGATGTTGATAAAACAGACAGACGCTTCCTGAGAGGTGAGACAGACACACACACATACAGGTCCTACTGTACCTCCCCGAGGCGTAGACCTCTGCTGTGTCGAACAAGTTCACTCCGCTGTCGTAGGCCACCGTCATCACTCTCTCCGCCATCTACACACACACAGGAACACACAGGAACACACAGGAACACACAAGAACACACAGGAACACACAAGAACACACAGGAACACACAAGAACACACAGGAACACACAGGAACACACAGGAACACACAAGAACACACAGAGGCAGTAACCCACATTAATGTGTGCAGAAACCTCCAGTAACGGTTATGTAATTGTTTGTTCATGCATTCAGCACACATATAAACACGCACACACATATACACACATATACACATATATACACACATGCGCACACACACACACACATGCACTGTACACACACAAGCAATACCTCATCAGAGATCTGAGAGCCAAATGTCACCCATGTTCCTGCGAGAGGAGCGAGAGCATCACTGACTGTGTGGGATATACAGTATATACAGTCTGAGTGTGTGTGTGTGTGTGTGTGTGTGTGTGTGTGAGTGTGTGTGTGTGTGTGTGTGTGGTCTTACCCAGTCCTAGGCACGACACTCTCAGACCAGATTTCCCAAGATTCCTGAAAAAAAAAAGACAAAAAGTCAAACTTGTCAGCAGATCACTGAGGCGCCACTGTCAGGAGTGGGCGTGGCCTGAGTAGTGACATCATTATGTTTTAGATTTGCGCCCATATTTGGACTTAATCCGTCACAGTAGATTCACTTCCAGGATGCAGTCATTCCTGCGTCGTGAGCTAATGCTAATGCTAATGCTAATGTGAGTTTTAAAAAAATCTTCGATGTGTTTTTAGTTCCTGTTCGGATCCTGTTCCTCCTCGGACCGGTCTGGACTCTCTACCTGATCCAGAACTTTAAACTCTGTCCCGGTATCTGACTGGGCTCTCTGAAAAACCCTTATTTCAGACTCTGACCGAAACTCTTCACGTTAGGTACTGTCTCTTTAAGGGGCTACGAAGACCTGATGAAGCCAGAATTCCGGAACCAAACATTCCACAACCCAGAATTCTAGAACCCAGAATCTCTGAAAGTTACTTAAACGCTTGCCTTATATTCAGACAAGGACTGGGAGAATTCTGTAACACGTATACTGGAACCCAGAATGCTAGAACCCGGAATTCCAGAACCCAGAATTCCACAACCCAGAATTCCACAACCCAGCATTCTAGAACCCAACAATCCAGAACTAAGAATGCTAGAACCCGGAATTCAAGAACCCAGCATTCTAGAACCCGGAATTCCAGAACCCAGAATTCTAGAACCCGGAATTCTAGAACCCAGCATTCCAGAACCCGGAATTCCAGCTACACAGCATTCTAGAATCCAGAATGCTAGAACCTGAAATTCCAGAACCCAGAATTCTAGAACCCAGAATTCTAAAGCCCAGGACTCTTCAACCCAGCATTCCAGAACAGAGCAGCAAGGCCTAGATTCTCTGACACGGCATTCCAGAACAGAATTTTCTAGCACCAGAACCGCAGAACCTGGCGCTCCAGAGGAAATATGCAGTACCTTAATTTTCTGGTTATTGATCAATAATATAAGATCAGCAATGCCTGATGGGAACTGTAGTCCTCAATCTGGACGACCAATCAGACCACCGATCAACTTTAAGAGCCGTTCAATATTTTCAGGTCTGATGATGTCACAGGGTCCTAATCCAATCAGAGCACTGGACTAGTCTGTCATCCGTCAACCAATCATGTGACAGATGTTTGTGACTACTGCGGCGTCTACTGAAACATCTGCCTTTAATTAACACACACACACACACACACACACACACACACACACACACACACACACACACACACACACACACACACGCCGTATTAACTCATCAAAACCTTATACTGGATAATTCTACAGAGGTCAGAGGTCAGAGAGGGAAGACAAGTCACTATGTGTGTTGATCCCTGATTAACACACACACACACACACACACACACACACACACACAGACACACACACACGTTCACACACAGACTGACATGCAAACACAGTGAAGTCCAGATGCTTCAGTGTTGAGAAGATTTCATTTACAGTAAAGGACACGGCTGAGTGTGTGTGTATGTGTGTGTTTGTGTGTGTGTGTGTGTGTCTGTGTGTGTATGTGAGTGTGTGTGTGTGTGTGACAGACAGCACAAACAGTAAAGTGAAAGTCGGCAGAAAACAGGATGAAAAAATGAACAAAAAAGCAAAACATCAGAGAGTCTGACAGACGGGCTAAAAATACACAAGACAGACAGACAGAGAGAGACAGACAGACAGACAGACAGACAGAAAGACAGAGAGACAGACAGACAGACAGACAGAGACACAGACGGAGAGACGGACAGACAGAGAGACAGACAGAGACACAGACGGACAGACAGAGACACAGACAGACAGACGGTTGGACAGAGGCAGATGTCCTTGAATCTGTCTCCGTCTTTAATCCACACTGATCCTGCTGATCGCTCCTGAACAAACAAAAACACTCAAATCCTGTTTTTGTGTTTTTAACAAAAACCCCTTTTTCTGTCCTGGTTCAGGTGGACCGGTCCAGGTCCATGTCAGCGGGTTCAGGTCAGTGATGACGTTCAGAGTCAGGTCTTCACATCTTAACCCAGCAGAAACCTCTGCTTCCAACGCAGAAACCCCAGAGGAAGCTGCAGTTCCTCCAGTGTCCACTAGAGTCTGTGTCCTGCAGTGAGTCAGTCTCCATAGAGCCCCATGTTAAAACTCTACAGCAGAATTAACCGTTTGGGTCTGTCTGGATCATTTCTACATTGACGGGTCAGAGAGGACTCACCTGTTTACATTAGATCAAAAATCAAAGGTATGGATCATTAGGGGGCGTGGCCTTGTTGAGTGACAAGTGAGTGACTTGTGCCCGACCTGCCTCAACTCCACCTTTTCTCAGTTATTCCAATATGGAACTGTATTGATGAATTTGACTGCAAGTGTCCAAGTCTAAATTACCCACAATTTCCACCACTATCGGAACAACTCCGGTGTGGAACGGCGGCAATTTTCGCCGTCCACCAATTCCTGTTTGTGAGGTGAATTTCGTGGCGGTTCACAGACAGCGGTAATCGTGAAAACTCACAAGAACCCGCGGATTCCGGCATCTGGAAAAATCGAACTCTTGTGATCAGCTGAGGAGTCCGGCGATCCGCAGAGGAACGGAAAGAAGTCGGTGTAAATTGACACGTTAACTTGAATGGTTACGATCAGCTACGATCGGAGGATACGACCTTTTAGGAGACGATCAGGATGAAGGTGGAGATCAGGGGTTAGTGTCCATGTCCAAACCAAGTCAAGGATTAGGCAAGTTGATGCTGCAGATTCCAAGTCCAAGTCACTGGTCTTCACTTAAAGTTTGAGACGGAGTCAAAGTTTATGTCCAAGTTTGTGTTCGTCATGTGGGTCAAAATTCAGGTAGTTCATGTCCAGATGACCAGATGACCCCTGTTTCTAAACAAGTCCAAGTCACAGACAATCAAGTTTTAGTTCGTCTTACTGAGAGAGTTGCGTGTCCAAACTAAGTCTAGGATCAGATCTGGGAGTCTGTTACTGGTTTTACTCTACAGTTTTCCTGTCTTAACCAAAACAGGTCAACTTCAAGTCCGAGTCCAAGTCAAGTTACCAGTGTAACTGAGTCTGAGTCCAAGTACCTGACATTAATGTCCAAGTCAAGTCATCATTACTCAGATATCATATTTATAAAAAGACAGTGCTGACTAAAGATCTCTTCAAAATAAAAACAACAATAAATAACGAAATGTTTGTCAAGTCCAAGTCGGCAACGCGAACATCACAATCAAGGTCTTTACCTCATATAACAAGGTACGAGTCCTGGCCAGCAACGGCTAAGCCAGAGTTTAGGTCCATACTGCAGTCCAAGTCCAATTCATTAACAGTTATGTCTTAGTCTAAGCTCAAGTCACTCCAAGTCTAATTAAGGAATACTTAAGTCTTAGTCTAAGCCCAAGTCAGTCCTAATCCAATTCATTAACAGTTATGACTTAGTCTAAGCCCAAGTCAGTCCAAGTCCAATATGGCGTTACTCATGTCCCAGTCCATGTCCAGCCTGTGCCACTCATGTGCCCATCCAAGTCCCATTCAGCAGGTCCAAGTCTAAGATTAATAAACTCGTGTCTAAGTTTAACTCAGCCACACAAAGGTCTAATCCGAGTTCAGGTCCTCACAGTCCAAGTCAATAACACTCGTGTCCTCGTCAGAGTCCAAGTCTTTGTGTTATAGACCAGGTACGCCCGGTATGATCTGAGTCTGGAACCAGGTCATCCATATCAGCGAGTCACTCGGGGGCCGAGTATCAATATCTGAGTTCAGACATGAATATTTAACCGAGTCATCAATATTCAGAGTCGTCCAGTTAAACAGACACATCAATCAGAGAGACGTAATCAATACCTGAGAGCCAATCAATACCTCTGATCGGTCCGAGGGGGCAGCCTCACTTTGTTTCCCTGCTCACCTGAGGCCAGGTGCACGGCACACACACACACACACACACACACGCACACACACACACATACACACACACACACACACACACACACACATGAAACATGACCTGAGTCGACTCGCTGCACCTGTCTGGTCATGTGACTGTCACACTGACTCACTCTCACTCGCCCTCTCTCTCTCTCTCTCTCACCTGTACTTCATGTTGCTATGACGACCGAGGGCCTCCTTCATGTGGGCGTGGCCTAGGAGGGCGTGCTTGTTCGACGGCTCCGCCCTGACCTTTGACTGACAGGTGGCGATGTTGCTGGTGTTCATGGCAGACCGCCGCTCTTTCAGAGGGTGTTCGCCTCCCCCGCCCCCGCCGCCCCCGCCGCCCCCGCCCACATTACACGCTATGGACACCTGCATCCTGGTCACTACGGTAACGAGCTCTCTCTTCAGAAATATGTACACTGAGCTTTAAAGTCTCAATACATCATGTGGAAACTGTCGCTGCCGCCAAGGTCGCCGGTCGCTATGGTGATGATGAAAAGAACTCATGAGTGGGACATTAACTTTGAGTCTCACTGAGTGTAAATCAATCAGCCAATCACACGCACGCACACACACGCACACACACACACACACACACACACACACACACTACAACTTTCTGTTAGTCTCTAGCATCCCGCCATCAGTCCCACCGCTGAGCCCTGAGGAGGAAGACGGCGTGTTAGTTGGGATGATGAAGAAGGTGCGGGTGATAAGGGTGATGATGATGAAGGTGGCGGAGGTGATGATGATGATGATGATGATGAAGAGCGCTGGATCGTCCCGAAGAAAGAGAAAGAAAAATCAGATGGAGAGAGAGAGCGACAGAGAAGTGAACGTCCAGGAGAAGAGTGAGCGTCCGTCCTCTGGACTCTACTGAGAGAGAGCGAGCGAGAGGGAGGGAGAGAGAGAGCGAGAGAGAGGGAGAGCCCCTCCCCCTCCTGTCTTGGTCGGCTGCACACTGGGCGAGCGAGCGTGTTACAGACAGACAGAGAGAGAGAGAGAGCGAGCTGTAGTGCTGTCTGTCTCTGTGCAGAAAAACATGAAAGTCTGTGTTTTTATGGGACGGCTCGAACTTCCTCTGACCGTCCCTCAGTCTGCAGGATCTCGCCACCTTCCAGGACGCTCTGCAGGATCAGCTCTCATCAGCTGGACCGTCCAATCAGAGCGTAACAGTGTGATCGCCGCACTTTCACTGTGTGCAGGCTCAGCTCAGGACCCAGGACAGGTGGAGACGAACAGTCCTCCACAGTCATCACACCTCAGCTACAAACTCCACAAACAGGGGCTCTGTGTCCGCTTCAGCAGAGAGGATTCAGGACAACTCCAGGGACATGTCAGGGACAATTTCAGGAAAACTTCAGGGACATGTCAGGAACAATTCAGGAAAACTTCAGGGACATGTCAGGAACAATTTCAGGACAACTTCAGGGACATGTCAGGGACAATTCAGGAACAATTCAGGAATATTTCAGGAAAACAGGGACATGTCAGGAACAATTTCAGGAATATTCCAGAAAAATCTCAGGAACATGTCAGGAAATATTTCAGGAACAATTTCAGGAAATATTTCAGAAACATATAAGAAATATTTCAGGAAAATTCAAGAAAATTTTTAAGGAACATATCAGGTAAACTTTAGGGAAATTTCAGGAAATATTTCAGTAAAATTTCAGAAAAATTCCAGAAAAACCTCAAGAACATGTCAGGAACATGAAGAAATATTTCAGAAACAATTCAGGAAAACTTCAGGACATTTTTCAGGAAAATTTCAGAAACAAATTCAGGAGCAATTTAATGAAATGTTTTAGAAACATTTGAGAAACATTTCAGGAACATTTTTGGACATTTTTTTTTTTTTTTGGGGGGGGGGGGGGGGGGGGTTCCAGAAAAAAATCAGGAACATTTCAGGAAAATTTAAGGAACAATTTCAGGAACAATTCAGGAAAACTTTAGGGAAATTTAAAGACATGTTTCAGGAAAATTTCTGTATAACTCCAGAAAAACTTCAGGAACATGTCAGGAAAATTTCAGGAACATTAGGAAATATTTCAGAAACAATTCAGGAAAATTCAAGAAAAATCTTCAGGAACATATCAGGTAAACTTTAGGGAAATTTCGGGTAATATTTCAGTAAAATACCAGAAAATCTGCAGGAACATGTCAGGATAATTTCAGGAAATATTTCAGAAACTATTTAGGACCAATTAAGGAAAATTTTCAGGAAAATTCAGGAGCAATTTAAGGAAATATTTCATAAAACATTTAAGGAAATATTTTAGAAACATTTCAGGATTATTTTTGGACATTTTTCGGGAAAATTCCAGAAAAAATTCAGAAACATATCAGGAAAATTTCAGGAACATGTCAGGAACAATTTCAAGAACGTATTAGGAAAATTTTTAAGAACATTTCAGGAACATTTCAGACTGACCCTTTCTGTCATAACACAGTGTCAGTTTTTAACCAGGAAGCAGAACCAGACAGAACACCGGCTCCATTAGAAACATCAACATCCAGAAGATTTACTGCTGAGGTCTCACTTGAGCTCACCTGGACTCCACCTGAAATCAGACCAAAGTAGTCCAGGTAAGAGCTCCTCTGGTCACCTGGTTCATTTTCAGGAGTTTTCTTCACGTCAGGAAGAAGCATCTTTAACGTCTGTTCTAACCTAACAAGTGCTGATCGGGGTGTCATGACTCTTGATGTTTAAGACTGAACTGTGGTTGGAGGGATTCTGACCAATCAGGATCAAATATTCAGCACAGCTGGGTCACAGGCAGCGAGGAGTTTCTATTCAGGTTTCCTGCAGGACGCCTGGAGCTGAGGACAGAGATGAAGATTCTCAAACACTCCTCTTCCTCCATTACACCCTGATCCTCCTCCTCCCCTCCCCCTCCCTCCCTCCCTCTATCTCACACTCGTCTGCACAACTGGTCCCATTAGAGCCGGACACTGTGTGCCGCCTGAGGCTGAAGGTATGCTGGCACTAATGTGGATTACAGAAGCCGCTGCACACACACACACACACACACACACACACACGCAAGGATGCATGCACATGCACACTTTCATACATGCACACTCTCACAGTGATGTGTTGTCTCCCCTGTATTTACAGTCTCTTTAACTTTGATCTTATTAAAACTCTCAGTCTGTCACCCGCTTTGATTTGACCTCCTGATGACAGCAGTGATGATGATGATGATGATGAAGATGATGATGATGAAGATAATGAGAGTGATGATGATGGTGATGATGATGATGATGATGATGGTGGTGGTTATGATAATTTAATGATGATAATGATGATGGTGAAGATGGTTCGATGATGATGATGATGATGATGATGATGATGAAGAAGATGATGAAGAAGATGATGATGATGATGATAGTACAGAGGATGATGATGATGATGATGATGATGATGATGATGATGATGAAGATGATGATGATGATGATGATGATGATGATTATGATGAAGATAATGAGTATAGTAATAATGATGATGATATTGATTATATTGATGATGGTCTCCACTGCTGATCAGAGCCCCCCCCCCTCCCGGTCCTCCATCCATCGTCAGCCTCGTGTGTTTCTGTCCTTATTAACGATGTTCAAAGTGTGTTAGCGTGTCTGAGTTTTCCCCGCAGAGCTCCTGAGTATTTTTACCTGATTGATGTGACCTTATTTCACCTGATTTCACACACACACACACACACTCGTCCTGCAGGAAGGACCGGCTCAGACCACACACTGACGCTGTCTTCTGGAAACACGGCTGACGTGAAGAGAACTGCAGATCGTAAATCCTCGTGGAGAGAAAACCTCATCGTTAGAAATGTAATCTGTCCTTATGTAATGATCAGGTATTGATTAGTGATCAGTTTTAAATCAGAGTAGAGTGGTAGCATCCCTGTCTGCAGGAATCAAAGTTTAACATGGGGCTCTCTGAGGACTGACTCACTCTGGACACCCCCTCTTGTGGACCAACGAGGAACTGCAGGTCATTTACCCTTTACTTCTTTAGTAGCTGCGTTAAGTGGTCAGCATTAAAGAACAAATACTGCAGTTCATACTAGTATTACTGCATTTACAGCTACAGTTTACGAGTATTACTACAATAGTTGGATACAATGATTGAGAAGTATTAGTACTGCATTTGTCTGTGGTATAAAAATTACAGGAACCTTTGGGAAATATTTCAGGAAAACTTCAGGGACATGTTAAGAACATTTCAGGAACATTTTAGGAACAATTTCAGAAAAACTTCAGGAATATTTCAGGAAAATTTCAGGGAAATTTCAGAAAAA